CAACACCCTATTCTAACCATTAAGGCATCTATTTTCGGGGAATCCAGGAACCACCATGACCTGATGCTGCCTGCAGCTGCACACAACATGCGCCTTCGACTGCGGAAGGCGCCCGGGTTTAGGGTTCCTTTTGAAGCAATGGATAAAGCTCTATAGCTATAAGGAATCTATAAGGTTTAGGGCTTAGGGGTTTTGGGTGTAGGGGATTATTTGGGTTCATTGTTTAGGGGTTTAGGAATTTAGGGGTGTAGGGTTTAGGGCTGGGGGGTTCAGGGGTTTAGGGGCTTATGGTGTACGGGTTAAAGAAGGAGTTTCAGCAAAGACCGCTCAAGGTACACCCTTGGTATAAAGACTGCCTTTCTTGCAGGGCCTTGATATTGGGATTTGTGCTATACACATATTTCTTTTTCATGTAGCGCACAGGGCTATCTGTCTTGAGGTTTACTTTACTGTCGACCCTGACCTGGCCTGTTGGAGTCTATCACACTCTGACCTCAACAGTCTTTGCCATAAGGACCACCCAACAAAAAAACAAACCCTATACCTTAAAGAAGGAAAAAATGTACCCCTGACACTCTGAAACCACCCCCCCAACACGCTAAACCCTAAACCGTAGCAAAAGTCGAGACCCTAAACCCTTAAACCCCTAAACCCTACACCCGAAACCTCTAAACCCTAAACCACTAAACCTTAAACCCTTAAACCCTTAAACCCCTAAACCCTAAACCCGAAACCCCTAAACCCCTAAACCCCTAAACCCTAAACCGCTAAACCTTAAACCCTTAAACCCCTAAACCCGAAACCCTAAACCGCTAAACCTTAAACCCTCAAACCCCTAAACCCGTTGGAGTCTTGCCCTTTTGCTTCAGGGTCGGAGGGCCTTGGCCCTCGGGGCTGGGGTTGAAGGTTTCGGGAGGTTTCCTTTCCTGTCCTTAAAATTTAGGGTTTAGGGTTTAGGGTTCAAGGTTTAGGAAGGTTTCCTTTTTTGGTTTTGTATTTTAGTGTTTTTCCTTCTTTTAGGATTCAGGACTTATTATTATTATCACTGTTATTATTATATGTATATATATATATATACATTGTTTTTTTTGCGTGTGTGTGTGGGGGGGGCGGGTTATGAGCATCGTGTCAAGCGTCTCAGTCATAAATGGTTAGATTTATGGGAGGATCGTGGGACTTAGTAACAAGGCTCATAAACAAGGCAACTTGTAAATACGTACTTAGAAAACCCCAATTAAGGTAACCAGTCCCATGATCCTGCAGGATGGCTTTGGGTGTAAGTAGTATGTCCTTCCCCGGCCTAAGTTGTTCCCCAAATTAATGTGGGAGCCTGATCAAGAAACCCTGGCCCTGCAACCCCAAGTTACGGTGGATGATATAAATCCTGCATTACCCATAATAAGGAATTTACCATAATTCCCATAGCTTAGAGTCCTTAAGGTAATGCAGGATTTATATTATCAACAGTATTACTTAGGACTCATGTACAAGAACCTAGTAAAGATCCAGGGTTTCTGAATCAGGCTCCTATCCTAAACCCCTAGACCCTGACCCCTAAACCCTAAACCTCTAAACTCCGCCCATATCTCTAAACCCTAAACTTTTCAACTCTACACCCCTCAACCTTAAACCCCTAAACCCGAAGCCCCCAAGCCCAAAACCCAAACCCCTACACCCAGAACCTGATAAACAAAACGTCCTCATAGAGCAACACCCGATGAATTCTGATTATCGATCAAACCAGAAGTCCTTAGATACTCAAAGCTACCTGGACCCCAAGAGTATCTAGAACAATAGCCTTTTAAAGGTGTTGGGCCAGGAGTCTGCCTATGTTTAGGGGATTCGAAGAACCCTGAACCCCGAAATTCTAAATCCTGAACCCGAGACTTACCACTGAACTCTGAATCTTAAGCCCTAAACCCACAATATAGATAGATCCCTTATAGAACCCCTCTTGCCCTAAAGATCCCTCTAAAGGAACTGCAAACCCTAAACTAAACCGTAAACCCCTAAACGTAAACCCAAAACCCCAAATCCCTAAACCCTCAGCCCCTGAACCCCTAAACCCAAAACCCTACACCCTACACCCTAAACCCCCTAATCGTTGGAGGATGCCGAGCTGTGCCAGCGGCTTAAGACCGAAGTTGAATCCGTCGAGGCAGCGTTCTCGAGAGTGATATCCCTGAGGGTTTTGGGTTTAGGTCCATGTACTCATTAGCATGTGCTTTGGCCTTAATGTAGTTCCTGGTTAGGTACTTAACGCACAAGTATATACAAGAAGGTGAGCTTGTATATACTGCATCATGGACCTTTAGGATGTGGTCTGCTATAGTAGGGCCTTGTGCAGCACGAAGATTTGTTGTATTATGGTGTTGGGGTTTGTTTCAACCGGCATTGGGGCATGTTTGGCGAGTATTGAAGCGTTTAGCATAGAAGGCTGAATAGTTACAGTTTGTGCTCAGGACGGCCCAAATTTCGATTCTACAAGATAAATTAACCAATGCGCCTACATTAGTCAAATCGTTTGTGAAACGAACACGGGGATGATTGCCAACTGGGCCCGTTGTCCACTCCAGCTCACGGTGTATGATCCAAAGCCCGAAGCCGCAACGTAGCTCTATATAAACCCTAAACCCCTAAACCCAAAACCTCTGCGCAAGAAAGAAAGACATTCGTGCAAATCGCCTGGGGTGTCTAGATGTGCCAAGCTTTGCGGCTTTTATTCGGATTTAGCAAGCATGTCGCTCTGTCGGGACGTGGTCTGAGCTGGTTGTGTACCAACTAATAAGGACACTCGGGCAACTAGCCCTGAGTGGGTATTCGTGCGCAAGCTAGGCAGCATGATAAGTCAAGCCGTGGGAGCAGTATCGAGTAAGTTTCCTAGGGAGTATCACAGCCTCGGTCATCTGAGAGGTTTAGGACTGCGGGCATGGTTCAGGGTTCATATGGAAGCGTAAAGTGTTAACATTATTCCTTAGGATTCCCTTGTTTTATTGTACTATACTATTGTAATACACCCCAAACCCTACTCCAAATTACAAGAGCTCCTACATTAGGGTCCAGGTCTTGAGGTTCCGGGTTCAGGTCCGAGCCTCCGAGCTTCGTTGTGCTGCCTTTCCTCGGCCGCCTAGACAAGCTATCACTTTACGACGTTGGATGATATGAATTCTGCAGTACCCATAATAAGGAATATATACCATAATTTTCATAGGTTAGGGTCCTTAATTAATAAGGTAATGCAGATTTTTATCATCAACAGTAGGATCCTAAGTAGTATCCTTTTGCCCTTGTTACTGTATGGTTCCCTTACCCAAAGTGAATAACAGGGAAAAAGGGGACCCTTGTTATTAAGGCGTAGCCCAGAAACCTGGATAGGAGTTATTTCCTCGCCTGGTCTCCTGCTTGATGGTAGGTCCTGTAGCAGCTTGGCGTTTCTCTTTTCAGGCTAGCTACCCTAAACCCTAAACCCTAGTTAGTTTGCTGTCTCCGAGTTTTTTTACGAAGCTCTTCCCGCGGTGTCTGCAAATCATGGCTGCGGCTGACGAGCAAGAAGAGCTCAACGATCCGGTTCCGATGGTCCTTGGCAGCGCCTCCAAGGAGGGCGACAGTGAAAGCAGGGCGGCAAGAGAAGAGATAGAATGTGCCCGGTTCATTGCACAAATGGACCTCGCAGGCCCGGAGGTCCTGAGAGTGATGCCGGCTGTTACTCTACTGCTCTTAGGAATTGTGCGTTATTTTTCTTATAATATAACTCCAGGGGATTAGTAAGAAGATCATGTTAAACTATTTCTATTCTGGTTCTAAGGGCGGCTAAGGTAAGGGCCTTCGAGCAATGCTTTCTAGCTTTGCGCGGCGCACATGGTATTGACCTCCTTGCATTGAGTCACCCGAGCGACACGATAGCAGCCTTCTGGAGCCATTCTTGGCACGGGCAGCGCTGGAAGAAAGTGTTGACACTCATCACCATCTACAATGGTCGGGCAGCCATCGGGCTAGGCATGTTCCTTGCTGTTGTGATGATGGTGTTATCCCTTCTGCTGGATCTCCCTGGTTACGACCGGCACGGCATGCGTGAAGACGACTGGTCCATGTGGTCCTCATGGTCTGGATTTCTAGTCACAGCGCTAGTGATGATCTTTTGGCGCCCTCAAACTCGTGTTTTCCTCGACAGTACCTGCATCAGTCAATGCAACGACGAACTGAAGGCGAAAGGTATCTCAGTAGCTGAATGGGTACGCTTTACACTTTTGGGGATAATATTCGACTATAGCGCTGAAAGTTTAAATTTTGTCGGAGCTTATGAACTCAGCAACCAAGGTATCGTTAGTCTGGCTGGGCTGCTCCGACGGTCGGATTCGATGCTCATTCTTTGGGATCCAACGTGGACTGAAACTTGATCATTTAGGTTCTTGTAAATAAAACTGTTTCCACATTTTGGTAACATACTGTAGAAGCGTTAACAAGATCCCAATTGTTCTCTAGTTGGCTTTAGGCCTTTAACTTCCTTGGTGCTTGTATGACTTACAACCCAGAACATGGATGTTTATCAGTTTTGGGGGAGTTTACAAGTAAGGAAAGATTGTGGTGCTTGTTCGAGCTTGCGGCATTCTTGAAAAGCAGGGAGCGTGGGGCTCGTCAGCAAAAGCTGACCATCACACCCACCCTTTTAGGTCCGATCCGAATTGGAACCTTCTTGACTGCCACCGCTGGTTCGCTTGCTTTCAGAGTGGCGCCTGCCGTACGGCCCTCGGTTTCCGGTCCACAGTATTCTTTCCTCTACACCACTTTTCTTACCGCGGTTGCTGCCTTTCTGTTCGGCTATGTGCTTGCGGGCATCTTGCGACGCTATTTTCGCGACTTAGACACGATGAGGCGGCAACTGCAGTCCATGTCCTTCGATACCGCTCTTTGTGAGTGTTGCACCAGAGGACATGCCGACTTGCCCGGCCTCCCCTGCGACCGGAAAATTTTGAAGCAATGTGTGGTGATGTGGTTCGGTAGCTTGGAATCGTTTGAGAGCACCTTGAGATCGGAAGTTCTGGAGGTTTTGACGCGGGACCTTGAGGAAGTTTTCACCACAAGGTCCACGATCGCAGCATATACGCCAATCATGTGGGGTGTCATGGACTATGCCGTCACCTTGTCACGGGTTGAAGGCCAATTCTGGTCCAATCTCTTGGCTACAACCGCGGGTGGATTGGCGCTTTGGCTTGTGGCCATGCCATCGTTGAAGAGTTGGCTCGTGCTCGTATGCAAGCACACACGGGCGAGGCCAAGTAGTTGGTGTCTCGAGGTCATGAAGAACCCAGGTGGAGCTTTGAGACACTTTCAATTTCCCCTCATAGTCCTATAGAGGCCTCCTTTCATAAATACTTCTGGGAGCCCTTAACTTAAAGTACACCCCAGGAACTCACTGGTTGCATTGATCGTTCTCTCTCATCTGATCTCCCTCGAGTTGCTAGGTGGCACTTTGGGAAGCCTTTCTAACTGCCCCTATGGTTCCTATAAAGGTATCCATTCAAAAATACTCTTAAGGGCCCAACACTACAACCCAGGTTAGTTTGGACATTCGCATATGGTCTTCAGCTTCCTCGGCCACAACTTGCGGAAGTGTCCATTGTCGGTACACTGCTCCTTGGCTGCTTCTGACAGTAGGACTTTGCCAATTTGGGTTCTCTATCATATCTACTATTGAGCTACAAACCCCTAAAAACCTGTACCCTAAAAACAAACCCTGCAAACCCCTAAAGCCCTAAACCCTAAACCCTACAAGCAAAATCCTAAACCCGGACCCTAAACCCTAAACCCTACAAAAGCCCAAAAGCCTAACTCCCCCGGCGATTTTCGGAGTCAGCCAAAAACCCTAAACCCTATAAAGCCCCTAAACCCCCCCCAAAGCCTACAAACCCCCGAAGGGGGGGATTTTCGAAGTCAGCCAAGGCTCCAAATTAAGGAATATACCCTTCAATCTTCTGAGGGTTCCTGTTCGAATTTAAGGTATATATATTCCTTAAGAAATTAATTAAACCCTAAACCCTAAACCCTAATTAAGGGGGTTTTGGAGTCTCTGGGACGTCAGCCAAGGCTCCATGCCCTTCTCTTCTGGGCCCTCGGCCTTCTCCTAGCAGCTGCCATGGGCTCCAAAACTCTAAGATAGGGCTTAGGGCTCATAGGGTTTATAGGGCTTATAGGGTTTATAAGGTTTATAGGGTTTTATAGGGTTTATAGGGTTTATAGGATTAAAAAGGGTTTATAGGGTTGATAGGGTTTATAGGGCTGATAGGGTTTATAGGGCTTATAGGGTTTATAGGGTTTAGGGCTTATAGGCTTTATAGGGTTTAGGGTGTAGGGTTATAGGGGCCCCCAAATATTTACCAGTGCAATACGGGTTTGGTGGTTCCTTGATATAAGTATAGTAGATTTGTACCTAAAAAAGGCTCATTCGAATGATATATAAGGCCCCGATACCCTAAACCCTAAACGCGTCACTGTGTTTTGAGCCTGGTGTTCTGCCGGCTCCATTTTGGGTGGCATTGCGTAAGTCTGTGCCACCTTCTCCCAGTGCATACCTGCTACAGGTAGGCCACCGATCTTTGCATCTGCGGAGTGAAAGGGTCAGCGCGCTTTAAAAAAACCCTAAACGCTGAATGACTTGAGATGGGTTGTGAAGGCCCTACTGATGTACCAGGACCCGTTTGTGCAGCCCATGCCTGCTTCTTGTAAACTTGTGTCCATCTTCTGTGCTGCACTTCAAAACCCTAAACCGTAAATGAGGATCCTGGAGAAGCACCCGCCCGTACTTCCGACACCCCATATTCCACGTGGCGCTATAAGCAGAAGCCGCACTTAGAGGTTTGACACAATTACTAACAGTGTTCCTTACAAGCCCCCAATATACTTAGTACAATATCACATGCCCCAAACCCTACTCTAATTGTTGAGGCCCACATGGTACGCGTTATGCTGCTATGCGGAAATGCCCCTAAACCCCAAACCCCTAAATCCTAAACCCAAAAGTTACACCTGCAGGTGAGCCTCCCAACACAACCAGCCGTATGAATCCCTGCAGAAGCCAGTAGGGCTTAGGGTTTAGGGTTTAGGTCTCAGAAGCCAGTAGACACACAACAAGCCTTCCAAACCCCAACCGCCGAAACTTGAATCCTGAATCTTGAATTTGCTGAACCCTAACCCGAAACCTCGAGCAGCAAGCCGGCGCATGGAAATGAATTCGGGGATCGGGTGGGGCAGCGAGGGCCTGGGGGTTTTGGGTGCAGAATGTATACAATACAAGCCCAAATGAGGCTCAGGGTTTAGGTTTTTTAGGGTTTCGGGTGTATGGTTTAGGTTTTAGGGTTAAGGGTTAAGGGTTTAGGGTTAGGGTATAGTAGAAGCCCAAAAGTTGGAAACCCAATAGCCTCAATCCTTAAGAGTAATGTATTGGGAATCCCAGCACTAATTGTCGGTTTCCAAGTTTTTGGGATTTACTATAGGGTTTGTGGGTTGTGCTTAGGGAATGGGTCTCAGTGTCATACAACTCCCCCTTTTACCCGCTGTCGCATACGGCATCATCATGTGGATATTCACAATTTGGGGGGAGGGGGGAAAGCGCCGGGAGGTTCAGTAACTGGAGGGAGTACTCCTGTGGCGAAGTCCGCCCCACGGATTCCCAAAATGAAGCCACTCAGAAGTAGGAGCGACCGATGGGCTTGACGCAACACGTACGACGTACGCAACATAACTAACTAACTAACTAACTAA